CTATGCCTCACAGCTCACAGCTACCTCAAATTCTTAGGCATAAGCGATTCTCTTGCCTCAGCCTCCCAGTAACTGGGACTACAGGGACCCACCACACACCCAGCTAATTTTTTGCTGCAGTTGTCTTTGTAGTTTAGCAAGCCTGGGAGGTTTGAACCCACCAGCCTCACTGTATGTGGCCAGCATGCTAACCACTGAGCTATGGGCACCAAACCAATATTAATCATATTTAATACTGGTGAATGTTTGGGAAGTGCTTTCTTGGACCTTTTTAGCTGAAGAGCAATTTATTAAAATTTTAAAAATGCCTGTGTACACTTTGACTCAGAAATTCTACTTCCTTGTAACTGCTCCAAAAAAGAAAAAAAAAATTTCTGCTTGTAATGGAAGTTTATGCAGGTATTTCCACTGCAGCATTGTTTGTAATAGCAAAAACTGAAACTAACCTAAATGTTTAGCAACAGAACAGTTAGAGGTTGCACACTAGTGGTTCTTGGGCTATACTGTCCTGCAGGTGTGTTGTGCTTAATTTGAAGGGTATTCCTAAAAAAAAAAAAAAAAAAAAGAAGAAGAAGAAAAGAAGGAACATTAACTGACTTATTATTAAACTCAAATGTTTGGGTTTAAATCCTGGTTTTAATACTTTCTAGCTCCCTGCCTTGGTTTATCTCAAAAAGTGTTGCTGTCAGCCAGGCATAGTGGCTCACACTTGTAATCCTAGCACTCTGGGAGGCCAAGGCTGGTTGATTGCATGAGCTCAGGCATCTGAGACAAGCCTGAGCAAGAGCAAGACCTGGTCTCTAAAACAATTGCTAGGCATTATGGCAGGCACCTGTAGTCCCAGCTACTCAGGAAGCTGAGGCAAGAGGATCACTTGAGCCTGAGTTGGAGGTTGCTATGAGCTATGATGCTACAGCACTCTACCCAGGGCGACAGCTTGAGACTCTGCCTTTAAAAAAAAAAAAAGTGTCCTTGTCATCATTATCACAATACCTATTTTGCAGAGTTACTATAAGGATTAAATGATGAATATTTAAAATTTTTGGTG